GGGGGGGGGGCAGACGAATTGTCGATGCCAACTGGGCCATCGGTGGCATAGAGGTCGTCACTGAGGAGATGGCTGACAGACTGATTGTTGATGTCGGGACGGGTTCATGGTGATCCTGTAGTGTTCAAGTGGAGGAGGGACCGAGAGTTACGGATGCGGAAGCGGCGGGTCAGTGGGCCACGGACTTGGGTGCCTGATGTGTGAACTGTCCGACATTTGGACTTATGAAAGGTCCTGATCGGGCCATGGTTGCTGAAATGACCACCACAAACGATGAGATTCAAGCATTCCAGGATATGCGCACAATTGGTGTTGCCGAATCGTGTTGGCGTATATTTGATTTCCCTCTGTCCGAACGATATCCGTCCGTCTCTGCATTGCCTGTTCATACAGAAAACCGCCAACGTGTACACTTCCGATAACAACAAGTCGCACGTGTGGCACGCAACCCGCCACCGGAAACCGAACTCACGGCGTGGTTCAAATGGAACCTCGAACATATTGACTTTCCCAATGAAACAAAACCTCTTTATAAAGATATGATTCATCGCTTCCGGTTTGATAAACTGACAAAACGTTGGATTTTACGGCGTCTGTCGACTAACACAATTGGCCGAATACATTCAATCCATCCGAATGCTGGTTATACATTCTATCTCAGAATGCTCCTTCAATCACCCCATTCTCGTGGCGCTACATCATTCGAGCATCTTCGAACTATTGATAATGAAGTTCACCCGTCGTTCCAATCCGCATGCCGTGCACTTGGTCTTCTAAACGATAACACTCAATTTGATGCAGTCCTTCGTAATGCTATCTTCACGGCTTCTCCATCGATGGTCCGAGACGTCTATGTCCATATTGTCTTGCATTGTGCACCTGCTGACCCTAACGAGCTTCTTCAAACACATTGGGAACAAATGACTGACGATTTTCTTAGAAATCTTCACGCTGTAAACGTTCCCTCTGCAGTTATCTGAACAAACTGCTTATTGACATAAAAAAACGCCTTCAAAAAGAAGGCCATCAACTGCAAGACGTGGGTCTCACCCCGCCTTCTACATCGGAACGAAGCGAGACTACTAATCTTGTTGAGCAACCCGACGACGAACATATTCCCCAAATCATTCGCGATGAGATTTCCTATGACACGGCAAGTCTTCACAACTACAAACCTCCCCCTTCTTCGCCCCTCGCAACATGCTATCTTCCGACGTGTTGTGACAGCGATAGACAACAATGAAGCGCTGTGTCTTTTCGTTGATGCGCCTGCGGGGACAGGATAAACCTTCTGCTTCAACACCATCCTTGACACATTCGAAATTGAAATCGCGTCGCATTGGTTGTTGCTTCCAGCGGCATTGCCGCTACACTCTTGCATGGCGGTCGCACATTTCACTCACTCTTTAAAGCTTCTCTTACCCCGACGGCAACATCGACGCTGGACATTCCTAAGCAGTCTACACTTGCTGAACTGGTTCGAATGACTGTTGTCATTCTTTGGGATGAGGCTCCTATGATACATAGATACCATATTGAAGCTCTCGACCGTACACTGCAAAATGTCTGTTCCTGTAACGTGCCTTTCGGCGGTAAAATTGTTGTTCTCGCTGGCGACTTCCGTCAAATTCTTCCCGTGATCACAAAAGGCAGCCGAGCCCAAACTATTGACGCCTTTATTAAATCGTCCACATTGTGGCGGCACTTTCACACCATGCATCTCTCTGAAAATATGCGAGTGCTTACCCACGTCAACACCCCTGAAAGTCGAGAATATGCTCAATGGTTGCTAACGCTTGGGAATGGCGATTTACCCGCCCCCCCCGATGCCGACTTCCCCGTAGTTAACCTTCCTCCTCATCTTTGCCTGCATGAAGGAACTCAGCAACTTATCTATTGGACATTTTCGCGCCTTGCAACCAATTCTCAAAACCCGCAATGGCTTGCCGTACGTTTAATCCTCTCACCCAAAAACAAAACTGCATCCACACTGAATTCCATCGTGCTCGATCAATTTCCAGGGCCTTTTATAACATGCCTCACCTCTGACTCGCTCCTGCCTAACGAGCAATACCCTGATGTACCCGTGGATGCACTGAATTCAATCGATATTCCATCCCTCCCTCCTCACATCCTCCGGATAAAGAAAAATGCACCTGTTATACTCTTACGAAACATCGCGATGCGCAATGGATTATGCAACGGAACACGACTAATCGTGGACTCTATAACTAACAATAGACTGTTGTCTGCACGAATTCTTCCCTCTCTCCAACCGATTCTTCTCCCACGTATTCTGCTTACCGTTTCCGACCAAACTACCCCTTTTCCGTGGCAAAGACGTCAATTCCCTATCCCCCCTGCATTTCCCATTACTATAAACAAATCACAGGGACAATCTATTAAACATGCTGGCATCGATCTCCAACAACAATGTTTTGCGCATGGGCAACTCTACGTCATCGCCTCCCACGTTGGCGACCCTGCCCATATCCGCTTCGCACTTCCTACAACCTCTGACCATACGACAAATATTGTATACAAAGAAATCCTTTGATGTGCTCCCATCTCCCTTGCGCCCGTTCTTTCTAACTGCCTCCCCGCTTTCTTTTGTTACCCTTGCAGGTTCTCCAAATGCTTCATCGCCCAATAAAAGATCGAAGACCTCGCCGTCGACGTGTGCTGCTGACATCCAAGTCCTCCCGGCTTCGGCATCTGCAGCTTCTGTCGCTGCTTCTACCTCTGTCACAACCGTTGGGACGTCTGCAACATGCGCTTTGTCGAAAATCGGCCTGGATGACATCACGCTCAGCCAGATCCCTCTCCCGTCCTCATCCCCTTCGTCTTCTCAAACGACAACCCCTGCCACCACTTCTGACTTCCAGCTTCTTCCCGTTTCTGTCGTGCCTGCTACGACGCCTACAACATCTATGTCCTCAGAAGCCGCCCCGAACATCACACTCCTCCAAATTCCTCTCCCCTCCTCTTTCTCTACCTCTTCTCAAATGACTGCTTCTACCGCTACAACCACGAGACAAATAAGATGGGATTCTTGGTTGACTCTCATTGATAGGAACAATATCGAATACATTGTTGATCAACTTCTTTGGGAGGATTTCCTCATGACGGACCACGCGGCTCTCTCGCCGCACATATACGATTTCTTTTCCGCTTACAGATATAACCGCACTCGTTCTCTGCGCCGTCCGGATCCATCGCCTGACCCGAACATTGACTACACACAAACTAGAACTTTCCTCTTGAGAATCATCGACGATGCCTACAATTGAACCCCCTCTCCCCAAACACCGCGAGCCCAGTATTAGTATGAGCGCATTACAACCGCCCACCATAGACATTCCTTCATTCGATCTACTGCACCGCCTGAACAGCCATTCCTCTGTCCTCACATTGTTTGTGAGCCCGACCCTCCCTAGTGGCTTCCGCTCGAGCCTTGGGGCATTACACATGCCACGACTCTCATCCATGATATGCTTGCCTCCCCTCACACATTGGCCATCTATAACATCCCCCACCCGCCCCGCACTTGGGATTACCTCAACCACCTCATTCTTCTTCACCACCATCACATGCAACAACCGCTCCCGCCCTTCTCTACTTACAGAGCCGATATTGTCCGTCGCGTCGTTGCATACCTCCAAGCCCTCCCTCCGTTCCTGCCGCCATGACCCCTCCGCTCTCTACCATACGCCATGGCTCTCAATGGAACATGCGACGACCTTCGCATCCGGCCGGCTCGAAGCACCGACAACGGCGCATGCCCATCTCAAAGCAAGCAAGAGGATCAGTTCTATACACTACAAACAGGCGACGACACACGCAGCGCCTGGAGCGACCCCGACCACAAGAGAAAGACACAGCTAGCCAGACACAAAAAGAGAAAGAGGCGAAAATAGAGCGAGAGACACAGAACCGTAGAGAAAGAGAGAAACAGAGACAGAGAGAGGGAAAGAGAAAGAGAGAGAGAGACGGAGAGAGAGAGAGAGAGAGAGAGAGAGAGAGAGAGAGAGAGAGAGAGAGAGAAAGAAAGAGAAAGAGAGAAATGCGGGAAGACAGAGAATGCTGCAACCTGTCAACTTTTCCATGAACTTCGAGGACATTTTTCAGTGCAAAACGCCGATGCTCACGATTTCTCCTCGACCTCTCTGCTATGCAAAGTCCCCTTTCTCTGCATATCTCTCTATCTCTGTCTTTCATTGCAAGTTTCGAGTCCTGCATATCTTCCCTTGGGGTCCACTTGTTTCGACTAAAGTCAATTAATTCACAACTCAATTAATCTCTTTATTCGGAATTGATTACCCTTTTTGATGCTTTTTCCAAATTTTAACATCTTGTTTTTGTAAAATTCCTGCAAAACACCTCTTTGAATTTCACCAATTATTCTTATAAAAATGCAATTGATTCTTTGTTTTGTGAATAAAAACCTCCAACCTCCCCCCCGAGCATGCCACGCCAAACCAAGAACTCTCAGCGCGCTGCAGCTGCCTCCACCTCATCACCGCCCGCTGCCCCAGCGCCCGCCGCCACCCCGGTTGTTTCCTTCATGATGGCCGGAAAATCTAGCATCAATATGTCCTCCATCGACACCCAGTTCATTGATGGCCTCCGTCGCAAACTCATTGGTCAACAGGCTGCCGCCTTGGCGGTCCCCGCTGACTCTTCCACCCTCCTCTCCCTCATGACCACCATGCAAGCCACCCTCGACTCCCTCCAAGCATCCCTCTCCGGCCTTTCCCAACGGATAACCTCCGTCGAACAACAACAGGCCTCGCCCGCCATCCAGATCGTCACCACCACGTCCCCCGCCCCCACCTCGGGTTCTACCACCCTTCCCCTATCCTCCGCCTCCACATCCACCGCCCTCTCTGCTAGCATGTCATCAACACCCCCGCCTTCATCCACCAGCATCTATACCACGGTCATCCCACCACCCAAGCCGACAACCCCCGCTGTCACACAGTCGCCGACCATTCCCCCCCAGTCAAAACCTCTCTTGACTTCATCCACTATTACCCCCACCCTCCCCGCCTATACCCAGATCACTTCCACACCACAAGCCCACTCCCTGTTCTTCCAATACTTCCTTTGTCCACACTGCTCCCGACCAACCCCACCACCGATTTCACCCGGGTACCGTCCTCCTAACCCAAACTTGATTTCAACACCCTCGCCGCCACAACATACTTAATGGGTAACATTCCCCCATCCTTCCGATGAATGGACAGTCCCCCCTTCACCCGACTTCCCCACGAGGTCGTCTTCGTCTTCCTCAGCAAACTCCACGACGCCTTCTCCCTCCACAACGTCCTTGTCACACACTGACTCCCTATCGCTAGCACGAGGTTACAGGAAGGTGCTGCTCGTTGGTGGTACACCGAACGAGCCAACCGCCAACAAGCAAATGCGGAACCCCATTCCTTCCTCAAATGGGGCAACCTCATCACCTTCACATTCCGACCGCATAAGACGGTCGATGACTACTTTGAGCAACTATGTTGCCTTCGACAAAAAGGTCCAACCGACCGTTTTTCCAATATGTCTGTGCGTTGCGGCAACACATCCCCTTGACTGCATCAGCGATGCCGCATTCATCTCCCACCTCAAACGGGGATGCCGCAAGGACCTCGCCACCTCCCTCGTCCACAACCCCCCGATGTCCCTCTCCGATCTCTTCAACCTCGTCATCCACCTAGACAAATTCCTCACCCCGTACAAGGACGCACTCACATCCACCCCACCCTGCCCATGATTCTTTCATAACATCACCGACGAAACCTCTCTCGCTGCCTCCTCGGACGAGTTCTCCACCCCCGACCGCGACACCTTCTCCAACCCACTAAACACCACATCGCTCTCCTCTGACGAACTCTCCGCCATCCACCTTATGCAGATGGAAAAGAGGGAGCGCACCAGCCGTCCTCCCATAAACACCCTCCCAACCCGTCTCACGAAACTCACGCCGGAGGAGCAAACCTACCTCCAAGCAAAGGGTGGTTGTTTCCGGTGCCGGTAGTTAGGACATCAACAGACATATTCAAACATGTATCGGTATGCAGCAGTAGATGCACAAATCTCAAATTCAAATGACAACGATATCGCAAGAGAAGGAAGGGGTTGTATGGAACAACCCAAGAGTTGTCAAGTTGCATGTCGTTTCGAGGAATCTTTGCTGTCATCTGGTTGACGCCTGCGATAGATTAGATATCCAGTGTCTTCGTTCCATGTTGTATGGTCCGAAAAAATCTTTAGGGAAGTGGTGGGAGCAGCGGTCGTTGTACATGCAAGGGGCTTGTGGATTATACGGTCCACAAGGGTTATGAATCATATGTGCGAGCACAAGTTCACGAAGCTCGGGATTGACAGGAATTTCAGCGTGCACAATTGTGTCAATTTGTTCAGGTGTCGATATTTTATAATCATTTGTAAATGTGACGACCAAATGGGCATGCGGGAGTCCTCGTTTCTGGAATTCTATAACGTATATATACTCGGCAGTAGGGCCAAATATATGCGAAGAGTGAATGTCATGAATAAGTTGGTGTAAATAGCCTTTGAAAACACGCGCTAGCAAATCTGGTCTATCTGAGGGTTGTTGGTTGTGAAGAAGTTCGTTTTGTATTTCAGGCCAGCGCGAGTTGCAAGTGATTGTAATAAAGAGATCAGGCGGTCCATATTCTTGGACAGTGGCCATAGAGTCTTGGTAACGGCGGTGCATATCTCGCGGTCCACCGACGAAAGTCCCAGGTAAGATAATGCGTTGCCCGACATTCTCAGTATTGTCGTATTGCATCAAGTGATCATGCAGGTTCTGATAGAGGTCCGCGCGAATTTTAGATTGGTGTAGTCTGTTGAACAAAAGGCGCCCGTTTTCAATCTTTGCAAATGCCATGCATATATATTCTTGAAAGAGTCGCGAGGCGTGGAACAACGTTAGTCGTTCCGCCGCGCGTGTGTTAAGATGGAAAGCATAAAATTCGCGAGCGGTGACTCGAGTAGCATTTGGGTCATTTTCATCATCAGTGTCAGGTGTCCAACCGTTTTCTCCAGACGGGAAAAGGAGGACGTAGTGCAGCGGATCAAAAGCCCGATTGGTTTCAGCGATGGGTGATATGCCGCCAGCTCGGCGATGTATAACTATTTCGCAATTGACAGGTCTATCATGCATCAAAAGACAAACTTCTTTCAGACCTCGAGGTTGATTATATCTTCGATTGTGTTCATTTAACGGTCGAGCGTCGGGGTTGATCACAATATGGCGATCGCGTATCATGTCTTCGGGAAGCTCGGATACAGTGATGAAATTGTGCACCCAAACATTACATATCAAAAGTAGGCGATGAAGTTTACGCAACAACTGTTTGATTTGTTGGATAGTGGCAAGGGGCATGTCGAGGGGCAAATTGAAGTGACTTAAACGAATAATTGTGGCGTCATGATCGTCCTGTGGATCATATATATATAGTTGTGCGAACGCGGACTCACGATCTGGGTCGGGGAGAAGCGGGCCAAGATTATGGTGCAGCTGACCGACAAATCTGACCATGCCAGGCCAAGGGCCGGGGGGTGGACGCGGTTCCTGAACGACTTGGGATGCGAGCGCCAGGGCATTATTGAATTGTCGTGCTCGTGATTGCAACAATCTGCCTTGCGGGGTATCGGCCTCCCACAATCGAAGAATCTGGTCGGCCGCTGTGTTGGGAGGAGGATACTCCCAAAGCGTCGGTCGGACATTACCTTGACGACAGCACAGCGTGGTCCATGTACGTTCATGGAACCATTTTTCAGCACCGCAATGGTTGCAGGCTGTCGTGTTTCCGAGATTGACAGTGTCAACCAAGGTTTGTACAACGATAAGCGTTGGAGTGTGGAGTCGGCCACTATTGCTGCGTGCTGAAATTCGTGACACATGTGCCTCTCTGTAACGTCGCTGCCGTTTTGTGTGTGTTGTTCTTGTCCTTTGGGCAGCAGCACGTGATGATTCGGCTGCGGATAGTGTAAACGATAGAAGAGAAGAAAGAAGTTGAAAAGAACAGATGTGAGGTGTCGAAGGAAGTGTAGAGAAGCAGCAAGTTTAGCATCTCCGTACTTAGAGCGAAATTCCGGTTATCAACCCCGGACGGAGGTGTTTTTTTTTTTTTTTTTTTTTTTTTTTTCCCGTTGGTATGAGCATAATCAGCAGGGCTCGGACCATGATCAACCCGAGACGGAGGTGTTTGTTTGTTTTTTTTTGGTATTTGCCGCAAAGACATGCGATCATCAATAAACAGGGTACACACACACACACACACACACGCATGTCATGTTCTGATTGGCACATATGCAAGGCCAGCAGCGACCGTATTGCGGCCGTTTTTTGTTTCTGTGTTTTCTGCTCGTTGTCCATTTCTGTCTTTCTGTCTTATACTCATGCATACACACATGCAGACATACACATGTGCACATACACACCTGCACACACATATACATCTAGACATACACAAAGATAGATGCGAGCTCTCACAGCCTTTTTATTGTTTTTTTTTTTTTTTTTTTCAAATATGTTCCCCATAGTTATCCTTGCATCGCGTGCACCACTCTTCTGAGAATAACGCCTTTGTTGAAGATGGCGCGGCTTTCCCCCCATTGTTTTTTCACCTGTTTTTCGCGTCTTTATGTTTATTTGTTTGCGGCACCGTGTTTTTTTTTTCCGAAACACACCTCTCTTTTATACGCGGCGCCATCACCGATGCCCATTATACAAAGTCTCCCATGTGTTTTGGATGGCTTTGAGATATCAAAAAAAAAAAAAAAAAAAAAAACCGAAAAAACGATTTTATCGTTTTGGCCTGACAGGCCCCAAGGAACTCACAATCGAGGGGGAAAAAAAAACTGGCAGCACGTATGAGAGTTCCGGGGGGAAAAAAAAAAACCAACAATAAAAGTTGTGTTCATCCAACAGCACACCGCATAGTAACACTCGCTGATCTCCCGCGGCTTTCTCTCTCTCTGTCTCTGTCTCTGTCTCTCTCTCTCTCTTTCTCTCTATCTCTCTGTCTCTCTCTCTCTCTCTGTACCTGGCCAGTCGCATCTGTCCGCTCTCTCTCTCTCTCTCTCTTTCTCTATATCTCTCTGTCTCTCTCTCTCTCTGTACCTGGCCAGTCGCATCTGTCCTCTCTCTCTCTCTCTCTCTCTCTCTCTCTCTCTCTCTCTCTCTCTCTCTTTGGCGGAATTATGAACGTTTCACACACATACACATTCCATCGATAGGATGAGCAAAATGGGAATTTCCTCGTTATATCTATCCAAGTAGCGTGCTCTCTCTCTCTCTCTCTCTCTCTCTCTCTCTCTCTCTCTCTCTCTCTCTCTCTCTCTCTCTCTCTCTCTCTCTCTC